TTTCTATTGTCTCTGATCAAGACCCGAGCTTCACATCTCGGTTTTGGCAAAGTTTACATGATGCCTTGGGAACTAAACTGCATTTTACTTCAGCTTATCATCCTCAAACAGATGGGCAGAGTGAACGAACCATCCTAACTTTGGAGGAATTACTTCGATCATGTGTAATGCAATGGGAGGAATCATGGATTGACCATTTGCCCTGGATTGAGTTTGCTTACAACAATCAGTACCATAGTAGTTTGGGTGTTCCACCATATGAAGCACTTTATGGGAGGAAATGCAGAACACCATTATGTTGGGATGTAGAAGGAGCAAGGCAAATCTCAGGGCCATAGATAGTTCAGATCACAGTTGATAAGGTCAAGGAAATCAGGGAGCGTATGAGGGTGGCTCAAGATCGACAGAAAGTTTATGTTGACACGAATAGGCGTGAAGTTAATTTCGAGGTGGGTGAGAAAGTATTTCTCAAAGTGTCACCATGGAAAGGGGTGATGAGATTTGGTAAGAAAGGAAAGCTTGCACCTTGATATATTGGACCATATGAAATCACAGAGAAGATTGGACCAGTGGCATATAAACTAGCATTGCCTCCAAAGCTATCTCAAATCCACAATGTATTTCATGTTAGTATGCTGAAGAGGTACAAAGTGGATCCTTCCCATGTTATACAACTAGAAGAGATCGAGTTGGGTCCAGATTTAACTTTTGAGGAGGTTCCAATTGAGATTGTTGATTTTCAGATTAAGACTCTTCGCAGGAAAGAAATTCCAATGTTGAAAGTGGTGTGGAGAAATCAAGATAGTGAGAGTGCTACATGGGAAACTGAAGCAAGTATGCGGGAGAAGTACCCTAAGTTGGTAGCGACAGACTTTGCAGGTTAACAATCTTGCTTAATAAGTTATGTTTTGAACTTGCTGATGTGCTTTTGTTGTGATAGCCCAGTATAGGTTTTTGAAACCTAAACATGGGAACTTGAGGTGTTATGTGTTTAGTTATGTAATTCAGATCTCCTAACCTAAGAGTTAGGTAGTAACAAGATTTGTGATAGTGTAGGTTGGGGGGGGGGGGACGAGCGGATATGTAATATCGACTCAAGGATAGATTTCGGGGACGAAATCTTTTAAGGAGGGGAGAATTGTAACATCCCATTTCGGCTAAACCCATATTTCGATCGCTAGAAAATTTCACGATTTAAAATCGAGCATTTCGACACTATTTCGGCGAAAATCGGATTATCGATTGATCGGATAAGTATACGTATTAATTAATTAATTAAATATATATATATTAAGCGGCCGGTCCATTTTCTTTCCCTTCATCATCGTTTTATTCTTTCTATTTCGGACCGAGAGAGAAGCAGAGCGAGCGAATGCAGGGGAGCGACTGGGGAGAATTTCCAAAGCTCAAATCTTGAGCTCTAGTGATCCAAAAATCCCGTAAGTAATGCCTAATTCATCTATACATCGTGATTTATCGATTTAGAGCTTTAAAACGAGTTTTTGGTTCAGGAATTTCTTGAATTCCCGATAAGCCAAATTAGGGTTTCGGAGTATCCGGAAGCCGGATTATGCCCAAATTTCATATACGAGCTTCCTGCAGCGAGGTAATCAATCCTCTAGTTCTAATCCCAGAATTTCGGCTATTATTTAGGCAGGGGTCCAAACCGCTGAATTTAGCTCTGGCCAGGGTTTGATGTGTTTTTACCAAGAATTTAACCCGGAGCCTAGAACTAATATTGACGGGGATACTGCAGGGGATATTAGGACGGTCTCGGATTTTAATTCGGGGTTCGTTCGTGAAATTGACGTTTTAGTACGGGAGGCTAGAACCGGTGTTTGAACGGCCAAAACTGGTGAGGGATTAGCACGGCATACCGGGTTTGTCGTATCACGATAATTATATTGATGCTTAGAATTGACCTAGGTGAATTAGAATGGCATGATTAGGGGTGTATGGACTTTTCTGCTCTATGATGAACTATAGGCTTCTGTATGATATTATTGACTTGCCCTACTCGATATGGACCTTGTTTATGTTGATAATTCCATATATGTTGCCAGATGTGGGTTTAATTGTGAATATGCCTTATGATGGTTCGAGAAGGTGATTGGATATGATTTTTCATGATTGTTATATTTGGATGCACAAGTGGGAAAATATATATTCCCTGGTAATATTATGATGTTTTAAGGAGGATGACTTGCACGAGGGTGTATCCCGAGGAAGTGCAATTATACGACTCCTGATTTACCTATGTTGAGCCAATTGTGGCCTGGTCAAGTACATGTGCAAGTAACGAATTATGATTAAGCAAGATGAGATATGAATCATGTATAAGGATACCGAATATGAGTGGTGTGGTCTCACGGTCAACTACATAGTAATTAGGGCTCCCTATGCTATTACTCTATTATGATATGTATGATAGTCACACCTCTCATATAGTGGTGACTGAAGAATTCTTATGAGATATGACCACACCCAGAGCGGTGTCGGGGTATGACTACACCCATAGTGGTGTAGGGTATGTATGACCACATCCGACGGGATGTTGGGGTATGTTTGACTACATCCGACGGGATGTGGGGTATGTTTCCCGGGAGAGTTATTAGCATGGGAGTAGCCAGGCGCCTATGATTAAAACATGATAAGATGCATATGCATAAGTCAAGGTGGTTGAGTCTTTTGCCTCTTGGGATGTCGGAGGGCTGAGATCTGATCCCAGTGCTTTGGCTTGTTTGCTAGATGTATGGTAAGGGTATGCTCTGTTATGAACTCACGATGCTATGATTATCTCACTCAGCTATGAGCTGACCCTCTTTTATTTCTTCTTCTCTGCTTATGCTATGTGTAAGCAGATCATCAGCAGCAGCAGTAGATAAGTGTTAGGTGGGAGAGGAGCTAGAGTTGAAGCCAGGATGAGGTATGGTCTTCAACTATTCTGTGCTTGGACTACTACTCGGAATTTTTTCCAGTGATCCACACCTTTTTCTAAAAATGTTTTGAGAACGTTTTTCATGTGCATACTAGCTTCTGATTTAGTGTGAGATATCCACAGGTGTGGAAAGTTGATGATATGTGTATATGTTGTGTAATTGTATAAGTTATGACGATTATGGCTTGTATCAGTATGGTATGCAGTTGTATAGTATGAAATTGTGACTATGGCTATGAAAAGCCAATACATATGGTTGTGAGTATATAATGTGTGTGATGAATTATTTTGCAGAACAAGTTGCAAGAATTGTTAGCCCATTACGCGAGTAATTCATGACGAAATTTTATTTAGGTAAATTTTGATAATTAATGTAACACCAGTTTTAAATTCCGCTGCAATTGTATGACAATATGATTAGGTAATACGTACAGGGTAGGGTGTTACATCTTTCATTCCTCAAATTCTAGAACCCTAAAATTTCTCCTTGAACTTGAAAGAACGAACTCTCACCCAAATGGCGCCGTCGAGAACCGATTGTCCAACGCTGTTGGCGGGAAATGCCCTTTGATTCTGTCTGATCGTGCTCTCCGATTCCGCCTGTTATCCGTCGCATCTCCTTCCCCTGTCGATTCTCAATTCTTCTTTCCGTCCATGAGCTCAAGACTTCCCTGTAAGTATTTCTTCAATGTTTCCGTAACTACATGCCATTCAGGTTGTGATGTGTTCATTTTCGACTATTGCAGAAGGTCAATTGGAGTTGGGGGCGACAGATTCAAGCATTAAGGCACAAATTTTGGAGGGCATGTACGACGTGAAAAACTAGGTTTTCCTGGATGAGTGCAGTGTTATAAATCGCAAATTTAACCCCGCTGCTTGCCTCCATTCTGTTTCAGATCTCGTCGTCGACCAATGACTCCATTCTTGTTCCTAGAACTCCTTCCCCATGCCCTGAAGCTCTCTGCCTCGATCTCCTTGAACGCTCTGCAGCTGCAAACCGTAGTGTTCCCTACTTTCTCCTTGTCGGTTGTAGCTGTTTGGTGAGTGTGTTACTCAAACTGGAGTTACCCAGTACCCACTTCCATCTCTTTGTTTATTTTTATCAATTACCATTGATTTTCCTTCATGCCTTTTTGGCTTTGCGTGGGTGTTTATAGAGAAAGGAAGGGAGGGGAAGTTGTGAAAAGTCAATATAAAACTTTGTTCTTCAATTGAGCTTTTCTCTTGGCCATGTATAGCTGCGTAGATAAGGTTTAATTGTTGCATCCTCTGTCTCTCACAGCAACACGTTTATGTTTAGTGATAACGCCGTATTTGCACATGTTTTCCCCTCGTTTATTGATCATTTTGGCTTGAGTTTTTTATTTCTTGGACTATTTTACACTAGGTTGTGTTCATTTGGCACATTTCAGGTCCTAGCATGTAAAGTGAAGCCTAGGCGCAAGTTTCAAGTCAATAGGAGATCAATTGGCGACTCGGGGTGAGAAACTTGGGAATGACTTAAGAAAGAATGGATTTATACCTCATTTATTGACAAAGAATCATGAAATCTTTTTATGAAAATAAAGAGGACAAGACTACGAGCATCTGGGATCAAACGACACCTGAATCGGAGCTCAAACGAGATCAACGAAACTTAGGAGTGCATGCTGGAAATTGTGCACGGTCGTGTGGGTTTCTGATAGAAAGACAATTTTCGGGTTTATTCATAATTATCATAATTACTATAATTAGGATATTATTATATATGGTTAGTAGTATTTGGGTCATAATAGGATAGTCTATTAGGTTTTTCCAGTCGTTTGCTATAAATATGTACTTTCGGTCTTTTGTTCAATTAAGTAGAAATTAATAGAAAAGTCATCCTTCCCCGAAACCCTAATCTCTTTCTCTCTCAAATCTCGAGGCTTCGGCTGTTCTTTCTGTTCTTCCCCAATTCTTTTCCTAATCCCCAAATTCTCTTTTAAATCCCTAATTCTATCTCTAAATCCCTAAATTCTCAATTTCCCAACCCAACCGATAGAACCCTAGAAACAGGTTTCTATCATTTGGTATAAGAGCCATGGTCACGAATCTAATTTCGTCAGAACTCATCTACCGCATACAAGTAAGATGCGCGCAAGCAATGGAAGTCTTAGAGAAAAGCATACAAGCTGCCGAGAAGAGAGACGAGGAGTGGCGGCTGTTGATGGAGAAATTGAAACGACCCCTAACCTCACCTCAGCGAGTCAAGCCACCAACCACCACTGCTGCGAGCTCACCCCCACCACCCGCGATGAAAATCCCCGCCATAATTGTTTCCGCTGCCGCCGAGGAAAAAGATCAGGCGGCCACAACCATGCCACCACCTGCGAAGGACAAGGCAATGAAGCCTGCAAACTCAGACATTATCACCGCCGAGCAGCCAATCACCGCCAATCATCATCACCGAAGCAACAGCGGAAAGCACGTAGCTCGAGGAACCTACAGCTACTGTCCTGCCGCTGACCGCTGCGGCTAGAAAAGAAGAGTCCCTGGCTGCGACAAGTGATTCGGACCTCATCGACGAGGCCGACGAAGGGGTGGAAACCACCGTTGAAGGGAGCAAATCGAAACATGTGCGGGAGCAACAACAGAGGACGACTTTGATTGCGGCGGAGACGTGCTGGTCGGAGAAGGACGTGGCCGCGTCAAACAAGAAGAGGAAGGTCCGCGTCAACCGCGAACGCCGATGGAAGCGATCGCCAGCGATGGAACCATCTTTGGGATGTCGGGGTCTGTCATCGAAGCTGCAAATTTCGACAAGGAAGCAGCGATTGAGGGCGGCTGACGTCGCGCCGCCGATCTGCAAGGAGAGAACGGCGAAGGATGGCTCGCCAAAATCACCAATCGAGCAAGTAGATCGGCGATCGGCTGTGGGTCTCCGAATGGTTACGACGGAACGAGAAGAGGAGAAGTTGGCATCTACCAACGCGGAGGCAGAGAGCACCACGAACAGGGAACCATCGTCGCTAGCCACCTCGATCGCCGCAAGAGGTCGGGAAAATCGCCAGTTACTGGCGGATCTCTGCAACGTCGGATAAAACAAGGCTGAGGAGGAGGACGAGTCAAAGGAGATGACGACGGGGGCGCGCCGCCTTCGGAGCAGTTCACCGCGAAGGGAGAAGCTCTCGATGGTCGAGTGGAAGAACGAGGCCGGCGGCGGGTTCCTAAGTCTTCTTCCCTTCCCCAAAGGACACAAAAGCGGCTACAGAGGGCTAGAGCCTGAGCCCATTAGGATTTGGGATGGGCTCGTGTTTGGCCAACCGAACCAGTGGAACCTACATCAAAGCCACTTGGAGAAGAATGGACCACGGGAGGGCTTGTCTTCACCAACGAGCACATGGCAGAATCAGTGGAGCACTCCATTAAAAATTTAAAGGTGGTTAAGGATGATGGGCTCAAGAAAAAACAACTATGTGATTCTTACAGTATGGAGTTTGAAAAGGAGGGTGATCATGGGGTTAACAAGGGCCACGTGGTTATAGAAGAAGCCATGGGAGTCGGAATTGCAGCATTGGGGGCCAGAGTTGCTGGAGTAGGATTCGATCGAGTGGTGGAGTACAATTGGTAGAAAAAGCGCAAGAAGTGGAGGAGATAATGCGCGATCTACATGGGTGATAGGTTGAAGAAATGGGTCGAGTCGGTCAACCTTGAGGAAAAGGTTGGTTTGAAGGGGGAGGGGATGATAGAAACCCAATTTTTGGGTTTATTCGTAATTATAATAATTACTATAATTAGGATATTATTATATATGGTTAGTAGTATTTGAGTCATAATAGGATAGTCTATTAGGCTTTTGATGCTCTAAAACACAACACCAATCTGCGACCAAGTGTAATTGCAGACTGGGAATGCAGTAAAGTGACAAGTGATATTATCAACCCGGGGTCTAGATCTACTGCTTACTCAGTGATTATCTATTATCTAGCCAACTAAAGTAAGTGATTGTTGTTTAAAAGCAAAAGCAGAAAGAAAGCACGAATTGGTACGGGTTTCGCAAGCAGATAAGAGTCACTCGGGAATGAGTCCCCCTAGCTCCTTAGTTAGTTTCAATTGCAATTACCCTGGGTTGATTTACTGTTGATTAGACTGCGGAAGATCAGACAGTAGCTTGGAATCTCTTAAGCTGACCAAGCCCTCTCAGTCTAACTACCCGGCAGACGACTAGTCTTCACCGGGATAGAAAGCTGAAGCAGTAAGAACAGAACTCCACTACTGGAATTAGATTCCAGTACAAAGCAGTAAACTGGCTAACTCTCGTATAGCCAATCTCCAACTACCGAATGATGAGACTCTAGCAACCTAATCAGATTCTATCTATCTCAGATTGCAGCAGGAATCAGGAAAAGTTGATCAGACTTCAATTGACTCAATAAACATGCATCATTCGATTCAAATCAAACAGTAATATCATCCCAAGTCATTACAATCAATCCCTAACACATAGAACTAGGGTTCTTCATCCCCAAGTGAGAGAGGGGTTCTACTCCATAGAGAGAGAGAGAGGAAAACAAGATACAAAGCAGTCATACTCATAATTATGGGAAGAATCTGCTCTGGGATGATGATTTCCACTCCTATGACGATCTCCAAGCTTGATTTGATGAAACCCAGCTCCAAGATAGCTTCTAGGATGTGTTCTTTGTACTTTCTCTCTCTAGGGCTCTGTTTTTGCTCAAAAAGTACGATCCTCTCTCTTGCAGCCCGAAATTGGGTTAAAATCAGGAATTCCCGACTCACACGGGCTGGGCCACACGGCCGTATGGCATACCCAGTTGCCCGTGTGAGTCAAAACGCGGCGTATCAATTAGTTCGATCTTCAGGCTTCCCACACGGCCAGGGTCTTGGACATGGGGAAAAGGCCTTTTAGGTGGTGGAAGTATTCATAGCACAAGGTTCCACATTTCCAAACCCACACAATCACAGTCAAACAAACCGGTATTTCCTTTCTGCTATTCTGCATTACTCAATATCTCAAGAGCACAAGAGCGAAGGAGGTATAAATGTCAGCATTTCCAAGCCAGACTGCTAAGAAACACTACTTACTGGGCATTATTCAGATTTTTGGTAGTGGCTCTCTTTGCTTTCAATTTTTCTTTGTTTTTTTCTTTCATTTTCTTTTCATTTCTTAAGAGAGCCACCACTTCTGCACATATTTCAAACACCTGCCCAACTTTTAAGCACTACCTCCAACACTCACATTAAATTTAGCAGAAACAGCAGAGAACATGTAAAAACCACTCTGTGGAACCTTCTAAGAGATGCAAAAGGGTGATTTTTTTTCATTTCAGACCAAAAGAAAGGATAACACACGGCTCAAAAGGGCTGACTAGGGGATATGACACATTAGGACAGTCAAATTTGGTCGTGGGCTAATCCTATGCCCCCATCATCTTAGCTAGTGACAACGTGAATGCTACACATCATGGAAGAGGGATCTATCGCACAAGAAAGAAACGAGCAGGCTCAAATCTCAAATGGCTACCTATATGCTCTATCTCACATTCTGATACCCTGAACTAGATGCATAAACGACTGTCAAGAACAAGTAATCAATCCAAGTCACAGTTGGTAAGCAAACAGTTGAAAAACTGAACCCCTACACAATTCTACTGCACGTCTCAGTCCTCATCATAGGTTTTCCTAGTCGCAATCAAGCTGTCATGCATCAATCTGAAACCCATTCAATTCACCAATCAAAACACAGTGCCAATATGATCAAACAGCAGTACTTGGAGCCCTCAAATCATAAGATTCGGACAGCGGACTAGGCTCCAGGCACCCAAATATATATTCCAACCGATACAAAGCACCCCCCCACACTTAAGCACGCCATTGCCCTCAATGGAGTAGAGGGAGAGATAAGGGGAACGATGTTACCGGATTGAAACTGCTGGGGGGACTGGAAGTGGACCAGTCAGCGAGAAACAAACGGGAAGATGGACAGTTCTGCACGAATCGAACACCAAGAACACACTAGCACACGTTGTGTTAGGGATAAGTGTTAGCCCAGATGGCTACAGCAAAAACAATCCACAAAAGAAACAAACAAAAACAAAAACAAACGACACTAAGTTCAAGCTCCTCACACATGGAGCAAACACACACAAGTCTAAAACGAAAAACAAAACACACTAAGATGGGCAACGAGTACAGCATACTCGTCGCCGAGGTTGTCCAGATCGATGTCATTCATGAATGCATCGTCGTCATCAGCTGGGGGAAGTGGAAGTGGAGAGTCCTCCCAGGGAGTCCTCCAGACTGGCTGCTCGCCCGGTAGCAGCTGGAGCAGATGCCCCTGTACCTCCTGCATGCGCCTAGCTCGGGCTTGCTCCCTCTCGATGCGCGCCAAGGCTATCCCCTGCTCGGTCTCCATCCTGTCCAGGCGCTCATCATACGCTGCCATCATGGTCTGGTACTCAACATGGTGAGCTGAGTACTGCTGCTGAAACTGCATCTGACTCGAGCTGCTGCGAGAAGTAGTCCTGGCCGGGGACGCTGGAACTGCCACCCCCGTACTCGAAGGTGGTGGGGCGGGCGGCAGCAGTATCATCCACGTCCTCGGGCTGGACCTCCTCATCAGCTGCACCCTCTGGAACCTCCGGCTGGACCTCCTCTGGGATCTGAGGTTGAGGAAACACCTCGATCCACATGACACCTCGCTCTTCCCGAAGAAGTTGCATTTTGTTGATCGTAAACCGGCTAAAGGGAGTGGTCTCTCCCTGCTCTGTGCACCCCTGCAGGGATATCTGGAAGTGGTCTGCCAGGCGGGTGATGAGGGGAGTGCAGTGAAGTTTCTTCAGCTCAGAAGCACTCTTCTCGAAGGTCCTCGCCACCACCGAGCCCAGGTGGAGGGGATGATCCCTCTGGCGCATGGACTGGATGAAGTACAGGGATCTCTTGGTGATGGCGCTGGCACTGTCTGAGGCTGGGGTGTAAGACTTGGCCAGCATGTGATGGAGGATGCGGTTGTCGAGCTGCAATGTGCTGGCCTTCGTCTTCCCCGCCTTGAAGGGAAGCTGACGTGGCTGAGCGAGGCTGAAGTGTAGCCTCCCGAAGTCCACCCCCGCTGGCTCGGCGCTCTCGGTGAGTTAGTTCCTGTCATTGACCAGGTTGAGGCCGAGGGCGTTCGCTAGCTCGTCGTAGCTCATGGATCGTGGTACACCGCCGAGCCGGAACTGGACGGCTTCTTCGTCCTTCCAATCGTCCGTGGCTGCGTGCTCAAAGGTAGTGTAGAACTCGAGCACGAGCTCATGGTACACCTTCCCGCGAATGCTGAGTAGGCGGCGCCAGTAGCGGTTGGTGACAACGGGGGAGAGGTGCTCGTAGCAGTTCAGCGTCTCCAACTCTCGCTTGGACCAGTAATGATGCTGCCCAAACTTGCAGGCCAGGACGTTCTTAAAACGATCCTGGTGGGGTCCCCTTCTCAAATCTTGAACATATTGATGCCGGACGTTGGGCTTCAACATGGTCCTGCAAAAGAACAGCCCAAAGTGGAACCAAAAGAGCCAAGGAAAATGTTAATCACACCCCCACACCTAAGAACAGAAAACAACCTAACCATGGTTTCATCCATAGTTCGGGGGGTCAAAAACTCGATAAATCAAGCATAATCTGAGTGGGGTGCACATTCACAATAAAGTAGGCAACTTAAGGATCACATCCATAGCAAACACACCCTCAAAGCCCATCAATAAGGGCCACAACCGGTGCCCACAACATAGCATGAAAAACAGGCATTTCATCGAACACCTTGTGTGCACTATTAAGGTAAGCATGAAATTGGCACAATTCTTGCACACAAGGGCTCAAACAACCAAGAGGGACTTTGCCCAACACAATTCAAACACACTCCATGCATTCCCCTCAATCAATTGCACAAAAATCACAAGATTCAATGAGGTTCTCTAAACATGCACCCTAACACCCAATTCTCCACAATTAACATCGTTAAGGGCAAAATCAAACCTGGAGACTCAAGTAGAGGTGTAGGGGATGATGAGGGGAAGGCGATGGAAGCGACGAAAAGCCGAAAAAATGCCCGGAAGTGCTCGTCGGAGTCTCGCCGGAAATTGCCTCCGGCGACAAAAACGTCGGCCAAATCTTCTCAAAATGGAGGGATAGGCCGCTTTTGGTTTAGGAAGGGTGGGTTTGCTGTTGGTTTGGTGGAAAAATGACAAAAAATGGCCGAAAAAATCGAAAAGTGTGGTTTTGTCGCGGTTTTCCGGCGAGTGAAATTGAATTTTCTGAGGACTCGGCCGTGTCGGCCGAATTTATAGGCCGAGTCTCGGCCACATGGCCTGACTCACACGGCCGTTTCATGAGCACTTTTGCCCGTGTCGGCCAACACGGGCTGGCCGAGGAATCTTCACTCGGCCGTGCCGAGTGCTCATTTGGCCGTGCCAAATTATGCGAGAGCAAACACGGCCAGGGCAAATTTCCACACGGTCGTGTCACCATCTCATCTGGCCGTGTGGAATTCTGCGAGAGCTCACACGGCCTAACCTATTTTCCACACGGCCGTGTGACATTCAGGGCTGGCCGTGTGAGCTGCCAGAACTCCAAAATTGACCTGTTTTCACTCCAGAATGACATACAACTCGTGAACAACCCCTCAAGACTCAAAAAACACAAAAAATCAAAAGGAAAAAGGTAAGAAAAATGCAAACCTATGTGGGGTTGCCTCCACACAAGCGCTTCTTTACCGTCTTTTAGCTGGACGCCAGTCGGTGGATGCTCAGTAAGGTGAAGGACCAGGTGCCTTCAAGAGCGGATCCACCTCGCTCTTGAGGTACAACTTCTAATGACGGCCGTGCACACGCCGAATGTGGCCACCAGCATTTGCCAACTCAACTTGGCCATCCGGCAGGATGCGAGCGAGTGAATACTCGGATGGCCAAAGTGGGGGCGGGACCAGCGCATAGTGGTCTCCGGCCTTCTTTCGAGCAGGCTTAGCTGCCTGCTGTTTCGGCCGCCACTCCTCCCTGATTTGTTCCTTCGATGACGCAGTGGACGGGAGTGGCGCCGAAGGTATGGGAGGCGGATCCTGCAAAATAGGCAACACAGAAGGATACACGACAGACTCGTGCTCCTGGTGAGATACAGCATGCAAAGGCGAAGAAGCAGGGAGAGTATTAGTAATTGAAAATGTTATTTGCCCCTCACCATCCCTCAAAACTAAGGTCCCATCATGCACATCTATGAGGGCCTTGGCGGTGGCCAGGAAAGGCCTTCCCAGTATCAATGGCACATCCACATCCTCATTTATGTCCAAAATCACAAAATCAACAGGATAATTGAATTTGCCAACCTTAACCAGAAGGTCTTCCACTATGCCCCTAGGATGCACGACAGATCGGTCAGCTAATTGAAGGCTCATCCTAGTAGCACGGGGTTCACCTAGGCCTAGTTTCTTAAACAGTTTATACGGCATAACATTGATACTATCACCTAAATCCGCCAAGGACCTCTCTACATGCAAATTATCTATAGAGCACGGGATAGTAAAACTACCTGGGTCCTTCTGCTTCTGCGGAAGCTTGTTCTGCAGAATGGCCGAGCACTCCTCGTTAAGCTCCACAGTGGCCAGCTCGCTCAGCTTCTGCTTCTTTGAGAGAAGATCCTTCAGGAACTTCGCATACTTAGGCATTTGAGATAGTGCCTCCAGGAAAGGTACTTGGACATTCAGCTTCCTAAGCATGGCCATGAAGTTCTCGAACTCTGCCTCCAGCCTGTCTTTGTGCAACTGAGAAGGGAAGGGGAGTTTAGGGATATACTCCTTCACTACTGGTTGCGGTTTAGATGCAGGCACCTCAACCTCCTTCTCTGCTTCTTCTTCAGTCACTGTAGATGCCGAGGCAGGGGCCTCTCTCTCTTGTGCCCGAGCAGGTGGATCAGCAGTCATCTTGTCACTCCTGGTTCTGATGGCATTGCAGTGCTCATTCGGGTTCTGAGGGTGAGGGATGGTCTGACCGGGCAAAGTACCAGGAGCGCTTTGTGCCACTGCTTGAGCCACACTCCCCAGCTGGGTTTGGATATCCTGCAAGACAGCCTGTGTGTTCCTCTGGCCAGCTTCAAGAGCCAGGAATTTACCCGATGCCTTTTCCATGAACTGCTCGATAGTGTTAAATTTTTGAGCACTAGAACTGGCGAGAGAACCCACCAATTCCCGTAGTTCAGCCATCTGATCATTCTGCACTGGGGCGGCAGGGGCTGCACCTGGCTGCTGGAAAGGTCGCGACTGAGATGGAGCAACATGCCCCTGCATGGGCTGGTAGAGAGACTGCTGCTGCTGCTGGAATTGCCCCTGTCTGGGCTGATATGGTGGCCTCTGGAAGCCCGGTGGTCTCTAGGGGACTGGTGGTCTGGAATTTGCCCCACCCCAGGAAAAGTTGGGATGCTGGCGCCACCCCTCGTTGTAAGTGTTGCTGTAGGGGTCGTTGCGCCTAACATTATTGATGAAGTTCACCTGCTCCTGGGGTGTTGTCGATTCCTTCATCGCCTGGCAGTCTTCCACCATGTGATGGGTGCTCTCGCACCAATGGCAGAGCATAGCCTGCTGCTGTCCGGTCCCTGGAATCATCCTGGAACGATCGATAGCTGAAACCAGCTTCGATACCACCTGCACCAGATCAGAGTAATGGTTTCCCACAGAATGTACACCTCGGCTTGGTGCTCTCCTCGACCTCCTAGCAGTGCCCCAATCATACCCGTTCTCTGCCATCTCCTCAAAGAGTTGATTAAGCTGTGGCGGTGTTTAGTGAGCATGTTCCCGTCACAAACTGAGTCAATCAGCTGCTTATCTTCTGGGAAGAGGGCATGATAGAAGGTTCCCACCTTGAAAGCATCGTTGAAACCATGATTGGGACACCTCAGGAAGAGACTGTTGTATCTCTCCCAAGCATCCCGGATAGTCTCATCTTCATCCTGGGTGAAGTGGGTGATCTGCTTCTGCAAGTCCGCTGTCTTCGACGGAGGATGGTAGCGGGTAAGGAACTTGTCCGCCAGGTTGGCGAACGTGGTGATGGATCCCGGAGGTCGAGTGTCTAGCCACTCCTTGCCCTGCCCCTCCAGGGTGAATGGGAAGTACCTCAGCTGGATGGCATCTGTTGGGACCCCGTTGATCTTGATTCCATCGATGAGCTCGTGGAATCGCCTGAGATGTGATCGGGGGCACTCCCCCTCTTTGCCATGGAACACCACTGAACCGCGCAGCATGGTGATTACTGAGGTGCTCACCTCAAAATTATTGGCTGGGACATGAGGGTGTTGAATGGGTGACCTCATGTCTGCAGCCCTGGCGGTCTAGTAGGATCCCATGGTCTGCTCCCCAGGATTGACCACATCATGGTCTTGTGGATCAGCCATCTCCTCCTCTTCAGTGATCTGTAGCTGTGCTAGCGCCTCCTCCGCAGCCAGTCGCGCCTTTAGAGCCCGCTTGAAGTTTCTGCAGGTTCATTCAAGCTCCTGGTCTAGTCGTAGTAGATCTCCCGACTGGCTACGGGTCATGCACTACCTGCACACAAACCGCAGAAACAACCCGTGAAGGCACACAGGTGGAAGAGATAAAATGCAGTAAATAAAAAGCTAGAGTAACAGATTCTCACGTTTCCCCAATAACCTAGAGGGTTACCCGGCAACGGCGCCAAAAACTTGATGCTCTATGACACAACACCTAACAATGGCCAAGTGTAACCAATGGAAGGGACTGCAGTATAGTGGCTCAAGTGATAAATATAGAATCCACGGGTCTCTAGAGTTACTATTACTCAGCTTTAGTTTATTATTTAGCAAACCATATTAAGATGAAAGAACTAAAACTACTCTAACAAACTACAGTTAAAGTTAATCTAATTACAGGTTGGGAACTCACTTAGGTATGATTCCCCTAGCCACTAGCCAGATTAATGATTGATGATCTCTAACCTGTTTCACTTTCATTCACAATGCGGAGAATCCTTGACTAGACCTTGAGTCTCGACTAAAGGAACAAGGCCCTCTTGAGTCAATTGCCTAGAGGGACGTATCCTTCTCTAGAACAACTGATCAAGGCGTTCTGAACTAGACTCCCTCTATCGAAAGAGGTTCTCAATCGATACAAAGCAGTGAATCAACCCTCGACTAAAGCAATCGATCCACTACTATCAATCTATGGTGCTCTATTGACCTAATCAGGTATTCCCTCTCATAGGATCAAAGCAGAATCAATAATCTCGACTAAAGCAGAATTGAATCATGAAAACATGCATAGATTGAATATGAACTCAAGATTATCAAGTCAGAGTACTCATACAATCATCCAATCAAACAAACATAGCTAGGGTTCCTCAAAACCTAAGTGAAGGGAAGTTACTCCATAGAGAAGAGAGAGACTGCAGAAATCTGATCTAGATCTTCAATCTCCATCTCCAAGCTTGATTCCCGAGCTCCAATGGCAAAGAAATCCTCCAAAATAGCTCCAAGAATATTCCCAAGTCGCTCTCTCTCTCTCTCTAGGGTTCGTCCCTTGGGTGTTTGGGAACCAAAACCCAGCTCTCCCTTTCCTTTGGCTCGAATCTGCCTAAAAAACCCGATTCTGGGCGAATTACGGGCTGAATTACGGTCGTAATTCTTCCATGCCCGTATTTTGCCCAAAACACGCGTTTTGGTTAAGTTTCAGCGCATCCAAAGCTCCTCTCGCCAGTGAAAATACGGGCATGGGAGGGGAAATTACGGTCGTAATTCTCCTGCCCGTAATTCTTCCTCCGCCCCTGTTCGAAGCTTCGTTTCTCCCTCGCCCGGACTCCGAATCAGTCGTCGTTTGAACCCAGACGCTCGTAGTCTCGTCCTATCTTTTCATGACAAGATTCCATGATTATTTGCCCATAATATGAGGTGGAAATCCATTCTTCCTCAGGTCATGTTCGTGTTTCTTCTCCCGAATTGCCAAATGATCTCCGATTGATTTGAAACTTGCGCCTACGCTTCACTTTATGTGCTAGGACCTGAAATGTGACAAAGGAACACAACCTAGCGTAAGATAGGCGAAAGAAGCGATAATTAAAGCTCAAACGATCAAGAAACAAAGGGGAAAACATGTGCAAATATCGAGTCATCAAATCCCCCCACACTTAACCGTTTGCTTGTCCCCAAGCAAACCTGACTCAAACCAATGCAACTCTCCAAACCTCTATATCAAAATACAACCTCGATCATCGGTAGAGGATTTCCTAGATCATATAGCAGCTTACGAGGTCAACAGGTCTTCTAAGACATTCCCTATCTCTCTCAATGCGAGTACTAGACTCAAGCCAGGATCATGAGAAGAAGTAGAAGTAAGACAGTTAGTTCATGAATAAAGGGACTCACACCATTCACAACTAAGGACTCGTTGCATCGGCGTTCTCTTTCACTTCATTTCACCGTTGGACCCCTTATTCACTTTCATTTTACTTTTTTTCTTTTTCATTCACTTGGTGGGGGTTCCAACTGCAGTCTTTTGCACGGTCGACCTTTATTAGTCGAGCAAGAGCAACTCCTTTTCTTCAACTCGTGTGGAGGGTCAATGAAATTAAGGGGGGTCGGAAGCTCTATCCGTGCACTTAAAAACACATCCTCAAGTAGGCAAACCGTTCAATGGGTGGAAGTTTTACTTGCACTAGAGACAGCTTAGCTTCACCTTGTAGGAGTACCCCACTAAGGATCACTAAAATCTCTTCCAAAACCCGATTTGGTGCAATGAACGGTGCCGCACACGTTGGGCTTACCCCATGTTTAAGATTTCGATGATTTTGACATGGAGGACCAACTGCATTTCATTTTCCACATGAGCACCCTGTTCGATACACAAGTCCATAACACAATCCACATAGGAGTCACCATTACCACATGAACTCAACGGTCCTAGCTCCACTAACTCACAAAATCAACTGGCACAGCAGAGAGCTAGATAGGAAAAATCTTATACTTCAACATCCTCCATAGTGCTACACTACCTCCATAGGTTGCACATTACTATAGAGACTGTCAATTCAAAGCATACTGAGCAGGCAATTTGCAAGGAAATACGTACTTGGAGCCCTCAAATTTAAAAATTTGGACAGTGGACTAGGCTCCAAGCACACAAACAGCCAAACATTCACCCGCATAAATAATCGAACACCCCCCCCCCCCCACACTTAAGCAGCGACATTGTCCTCAATGGAGGAAAGATAAGGAGGGTAGAACGAAGTTACCAGATCAAGGGTGAATGATGATGGACGGGGCAGGCGATGCATTCCAGGAAGAGAGAGTAATCAGAACACAAACACCACACAAAATCTCACAAAGGTTGAGTTATTGACTCTAAAATCAAATAACAAAACTGACTCAACCGAGGATAAATAGAGAAAGAAATTCAAACCGACTGGTTGGGTTGCCTCCCAACAAGCGCTTCTTTCACGTCGTGAGCCGGACGATGGCTCCTAAGTTTCGGTCCATGCTAGAACCTCCTTGAAGTTGAGGTTCTCGTCAATGAGGTGGAGTCGCAAGTCACAAGCATGTGGTATGACTCGTGATGGAAGCTCGTGCACTTGATGCAGATGAAGTCTCCATCCTCGAGACCTCTTCTTCTCTTCTCTCGTCCCATTGCCTCAAACTAGATATGACAACATCGATTGGCCACCATCGCGTCCATCAAGAGGAACCGATGTCGATGTGGCCTTGGTTTGGCAAAGAGACACTACAAATGGGTCCTTGCTAAGTAGTTCCTCGAAGTTTGGCGGAGATATCAAATGTAACTCATGGCCGGTGCAAGCCTCTTCCACCTCAACTTCGTCCTCAGCCTGGACGCCAATTACTTCTTCAACCTCCCTTCCTTGTTCGTGTGGTATCACCCCTGGGAAATGATCAAGAACTCCTCTTGCTTCACTTTCGTCATCCTCCACAACTTCTTTCTGCACCCTTTCTTGCTCTTCTTCTTCTAGCACGGATTGGAGAGCAAGTTGCCAAGCAATTTCTTTCATGAGATCTTCTTGCATCTCCTCACTCATGCCCGCCTCTTCAAAGCTCAGTTTGGGATGTGGGAAGGTGTCGTCGGCTATGACAGGACATTCCAAATCATGATCATCACGGGAGCTCTCTGTGACATCTTTAGTGTGCTCCACAATGTCCTTGTAGCCTTCTTCTTCCTCCTCCTCTTCTAGTATGGTAGCAGAAGGGTGATCTGGAGCAGGTTGTGCCCACGATCGCTCAAGATCATCGACGCTCTTCTTAAGGCTCAGGAGGATCTCCTCTGTTTCACGATAGGCCTGGACACAATGATCCATCCTGGAGCATGTTCTATCACAGTCTCGAGCAAACTGCTCCATGAGAAGACTCAATTCATAGTTTGGATCTGGCTGTGGAGTGTAGCATGGCTCTGCAGAATGGCCCGTGAAGGCCGCCATGGGTAACTCTAGCTCCAATGGGCCCTCTGGTTGTGGGAGAAATTCTTCTCGATAAGGAGGTTGTTCTTGATATGCCCAAGGGTCTGATTGTTCTCCGTAGTAAGGGGGTTGGTACTGGAACCCGAATCCATAGTCTTCTCCTCCTTGATTGCTCCAGGGAGTCTTGGGGAAATACCACTCGGATGGTGGTGGATACCCCCAATGATTGGAGAAGCCATGAGGATCCATGATTCAGATCTGCACCAACAAAAACAAAAACACCCAAGTGAAAAGCAAGGGTGGAAAAGAAAAACGCTAAAGTAACAAACTTCTGCCTTTCCTAATACTCTAGAAAGTCCCCGGCAACGGCGCCAAAAACTTGATGCTCTAAAACACAACACCAATCTGCGACCAAGTGTAATCGCAGACCGGGAATGCAGTAAAGTGACAAGTGATATTATCAACCCGGGGTCTAGATCTACTGCTTACTCAGTGATTATCGATTATCTAGCCAACTAAAGTAAGTAATTGTTGTTTAAAAGCAAAAGCAGAAAGAAAGCAGGAATTGGTACGATTTTCAAGCAGATAAGAGTCACTCGGGAATGAGTCCCCCTGGCTCCTTAGTTAGTTTCAATTTCAATTACCCTGGGTTGATTTACTGTTGATTAGACTGCGGAAGATCCGACAGTAGCTTGGAATCTCTTAAGCTGACCAAGCCCTCTCAGTCTAACTACCCGGCAGACGACTAGTCTTCACCGGGATAGAAAGCTGAAGCAGTAAGAACAGAACTCCACTACTGGAATTGGATTCCATTACAAAGCAGTAAACTGGCTAACTCTCGTATAGCCAATCTCCTACTACCGAATGATGAGACTCTAGCAACCTAATCAGATTCTATCTATCTCAGATTGCAGCAGGAATCAGGAAAAGTTGATCAGACTTCAATTGACTCAATAAACATGCATCATTCGATCCAAATCAAACAGTAATATCATCCCAAGTCATTACAATCAATCCCTAACACATAGAACTAGGGTTCTTCATCCCCAAGTGAGAGAGGGGTTCTACTCCATAGAGAGAGAGAGGAAAACAAGATACAAAGCAGTCATACTCATAATTATGGGAAGAATCTGCTCTGGGATGATGATTTCCACTCCTATGACGATCTCCAAGCTTGATTTGATGAAACCCAGCTCCAAGATAGCTTCTAGGATGTGTTCTTCGTACTTTCTCTCTCTAGGGCTCTGTTTTTGCTCAAAAAGTCCAATCCTCTCTCTTGCAGCCCGAAATTGGGTTAAAACCAGGAATTCCCGACTCACACGGGCTGGGCCACACGGCCGTGTGGCATACCCAGTTGCTCGTGTGAGTCAAAACGCGGCGTATCAATTAGTTCGATCTTCAGGCTTCCCACACGGCCAGGGTCGCACGGCCGTGTGGGATTTCCATCCTGCCCGTGTTTGCTCTCGCATAATTCCACACGGCCAAACCACTCCTTCACACGGCCGTGTGGATGTCAGGGCAAGCCGTGTGAAGGCTCGCACAATCTCACACGGCCAAAGTGGTCACTTGCACGGCCGTATGAGTTGTGGGTGTGCCCGTGTGGCCTCCTTTTTGACTTGCCTCGCGCCCGATCTTCGTCCAATCGACCCCGAACTCGCTCCTAAACCTTCATTCACTTGCTAGGACCTCAAATATCACTAACAAACACAACCTAGCGTGAAATCGGCCTAAAACACGAGAATTATCATCTCAAACGGCTCCAGAATAGGGGTAAAAACATGTGCAATTAACGGCTTATCAGCTTTTCCAGTCGTTTGCTATAAATATGTACTTTCGGTCTTTTGTTCGATTAAGTAGAAATTAATAGAAAAGTCATCCTTCCCCGAAACCCTAATCTCTTTCTCTCTCAAATTCGAGGCTTCGGTCGTTCTTTCTGTTCTTCCGCAATTCTTTTCCTAATCCCCAATTCTCTTCTAAATCCCTAATTCTATCTCTAAATCCCTAAATTCGCAATTTCCCAACCCAACCGATACAACGCTAGAAACATGTTTCTATCAGTTTGCCAGGGGGTTTGCACGGCCAAAACCTCAATTTGCATGGCTGTGCAAGTAGGAGGTGCGAGTTTCAGCGGGTATAAAAGTTGTTTTGCGATTTTTGGAGAAGGGGAGCTGGGTTTTGGATCCCAAACATCCAAGGGACGAACCAAAGAGAGAGCGGGCGATTTGAGGGCATTCTTTGAGTGGAATTGGAGGATTTATTTTCATTGGAAGTTTGAGGAACAAGCCCGGACTTGAAGACTGATCATCTGAAGATTCTTACTGCAGTCTCTCTCTTCTCTATGGAGTAACTTCCCTTCACTTAGGTTTTGAGGAACCCTACCGATGTTTGTTTGATTGGATGATTGTATACTCCGACTTGATAATCTTGAGTTCATATTCAATCTATGCACGTTTTCATGATTCAATTCTACTTTAGTCGAGATTATTGATTCTGCTTTGATCCTATGAGAATACCTGATTAGATCAATAGAACACCATAGATTGATAGTATTAGATCGATTGCTTTAGTCGAGGGTTGATTCACTGCTTTGTATCGATTGAGAACCTCTTTTGATAGAGGGAATCTAGTTCAGAACGCCTTGATCGGTTGTTCTAGAGAAGGATGCGCCCCTCTAGGCAAGCGACTCAAGAGGGCCTTGATCCTTTAGTCGAGATTCAAGGTCTAGTTAAAGATTCTCCGCATTGTGAATGAAAGTGAAACATGTTAGAGATCATCAATTATTAATCTGGCTAGTGGCTAGGGAGAATCATACCTAAGTGAGTTCCCAACCTGTAATTAGATTAACTTTAACTGTAGTTTGTTAGAGTAGTTTTTGCTCTTCCATCTTAATCTGGTATGCTAGATAATGCATTGAAGCTGAGTAATAGTAACTCTAGAGACCCGTGGATTCGATATTTATTACTTGAGCCACTATACTGCAGTCCCTTTCATTGGTTACACTTGGCCATTGTTAGGAGTTGTGTCATAGTGTGTCAAGTTTTTGGCGTCGTTTCCGCGGACTTTCTAGATTATTAGGAAGGCAGAAGTTTGTTACTTTAGCGGTTTTTTTTTCCAACCTTGCTTTTCACTTGGGTGTTTTTGTTTTTGTTTTTGTTGGTGCAGATCTGAATCATGGATCCTCATGGCTTCTCCAACCATTGGGGGTATCCACCACCATCCGAGTGGTATTACCCCGAGACTCCCTAGAGCAATCAAGGAGGATAAGACTATGGATTCGGGTTCCAGTAGCAACTCCCTTACTACGGAGAACAATCAAACCCCTGGGCATATCAGGAACAACCTCATTACCAAGAAGAATATCTCCCACAACCAGAAGGGCCATCAGAACTGGAGTTAGCCATGGCGGCCTTCACGGGCCATTCTGCAGAGCCATGCTACACTCCACAGCCAAATCCAAACTATGAATTGAGGCTTCCCATGGAGCAGTTTGCTCGGAGAGATCATGCTCCAGGATGGATCTTTGTACCCAGGCCTATCGTGAAACAGAGGAGATCCTCTTGAGCATTAAGAAGAGCCTCGATGATCTTGAAAAATCTTATGCATAGCCTGCTCAAGATCAACCTTCTGCAACTATACTAGAAGAGGAGGAGGAAAATGAAGGCTACGAAGACATTGTGGAGCACAGAGAAGCAGTTCAGTTAAAATCGCGTTTCAAATCATAAAAACGAACGTTTTTACGTATCTAGGTCACCTGAACATTTCAGTTTCCACTTAAAAACGTTTTGCTAATAAAATCGTTCAAAATCGTTAGTGGGAACGTTGAAATCGATGAAAACAGTCGAAAATGCATTTTCTTAGCGTTTCTATGCGTTTCCAGCTACTACCCGAAAAAGGTACAGTTACATTAATACGACGCCACTTTGGAATTGCAAAATAAAAAGGGAAAAAAATTTATAATTGTGGAAAGGGGAATAGGGCTCATCAGTTGAGCATCTCCTCAACCCAAAAATGCAGTCCCTAACTGACCGCTGCAAAGCAGGGCAACCAGCCAACCACAACAATCGTAGAAGGAGAGGGCGGCAGTCTTCACCGTCGCGAGGCCACACGCCGCGGCCTCTACCGTCGCCAATAGCCAGTAGACGCGCGGCCGCCACAGTCTCATGCTGCAGCTCGGCGCTGGAATATAGAAGAATGCTGCTATTTCGTTTTCATCAATATTGGAAGCCTACTCCTATGCTTTGAAGCTTAGTGTAAGGAAGTAGTTAAGCACCACACACGGACCTGTATAAGATCCATCATAACCTTCTCCCAACAACTCGAGTTATTGGGAGCAACTGGTTCTTGACATGGTATCAGAGCTGGTTTGTCCGTGAGGTCACGTGTTCAAGTCCTCACGACCCTCAATATTAACCGTTGTCTTTCAAGCACATGGTATGGCGGGCATGTGCAAACTTCAAGCCCATGAGTCGGCTTTCGTTTGAGGGGGCGTGTATGGAAGTGGTTAAGCACCACACACGGACCTGTATAAGATTCATCATAACCTTCTCCCAACAACTCGAGTTATTGGGAGCAACTGGTTCTTGACACTTAGCGCCAAGGTCATTCATATTTTAATCTCAGGCTTAGTCTTGTTAAGTTATGGTTAGTGATTTTCTTCAATGGGTTGTGATATATATTTACAGCCGTCAACAAATTCCATCGTTGAATTGCTCCATCTAAACATTGTTTGTTCACTTTTATTGCAGATTCTGTGCAGCGTGCAGCAGCAAGCGCCGAGGGAGAGGAGCAGAGGACCGAAAATGAGACATCCTCTTCGAAAGAATTCTTCCCCAATTGAGACATCCACCTCGAGAACTGTTACCTTTATTCTTCAAAGTGCCTAACTAGATCAAGAATGTGGCTACGTGTAATCTAACTAGAGTCGATTGCATTCTAGTTGTGGGCAATATTGAGGATAAGCATTGTATTTCACTATAATTAGAACACATAAGAAGATTCCATTTCATGTCACTTTTTGGTAAAAATTACATGTATGGCCACTCAAAACCTCATAGTAAACTTAGCTAATTATTCATTGAATTAGTGTCGCTGTATGTTAATTCGTCACTCTATATATGCATCCTGGCCACTCAAAACCTCGTTGAATTGTTAAGATGTTATGAATTTGTTCTACTTTAAAAATGAATTTTAGGTATTTATTCATTTACCTAAATCTGTATGTTCACATTTTACATAGTACATGCCCGAGTTAACAGATTTTTAACTATTATACAGGATGCATTAAAAACTTACGTTTGTACGCTTTGATTCTACGTTTTACGATTTTACCCATTCTCCGTTTCTAAGTAGAATCGCGTTTTTGACTGCATTGCACAGAAGACATCCTCTTCGAAAGAATTCTTCCCCAATTGAGACATCCACCTCGAGAACTGTTACCTTTATTCTTCAAAGTGCCTAACTAGATCAAGAATGTGGCTACGTGTAATCTAACTAGAGTCGATTGCATTCTAGTTGTGGGCAATATTGACGATAAGCATTGTATTTCACTATAATTAGAACACATAAGAAGATTCCATTTCATGTCACTTTTTGGTAAAAATTACATGTATGGCCACTCAAAACCTCATAGTAAACTTAGCTAATTATTCATTGAATTAGTGTCGCTGTATGTTAATTCGTCACTCTATATATGCATCCTGGCCACTCAAAACCTCGTTGAATTGTTAAGATGTTATGAATTTGTTCTACTTTAAAAATGAATTGTAGGTATTTATTCATTTACCTAAATCTGTATGTTCACATTTTACATAGTACATGCCCGAGTTAACAGATTTTTAACTATTATACAGGATGCATTAAAAACTTACGTTTGTACGCTTTGATTCTACGTTTTACGATTTTACCCATTCTCCGTTTCTAGGTAGAATCGCGTTTTTGACTGCATTGCACAGAAGTTGTCACGGAGATCTCCCGTGATGATCATGATCAGAAATGTCCTGTCGTAGCCGACCACACCTTCCCACATCCCACTCTGAGCTTTGAAGAGGCGGGCATGAGTGAGGAGATGCAAGAAGATCTCATCAAAGAAATTGCTAGGCGACTTGCCCTCCAATCCGTGCTGGAAGAAGAAGAGCAAGAAAGGTTGCAGAAAGAAATTGTAGAGGATGACGAAAGTGAAGCAGAAGGAGTTCTTGATCATTTCCCAGGGGTGATACCACATGAAGAAGGAAGGTAGGTTGAAGAAGAAATTGGCGTCCAGGCCGAGAACGAAGTTGAGGTGGAAGAGGCATGCACCAGCCATGAGTTACATGTGATCTCTCCACCAAACTTCGAGGAACTGCTTAGCAAGGACCCATTTGCAGTGTCTCTTTGCCAGACCAAGGCCACATCGACATCGGTCCCTCTTGGTGGAAGCGATGGTAGTCAATTGATGTTGTCATATATGGTTTGGGTTAATGAGACGAGAGAAGAGAAGAAGAGGTTTTGAGGGTGGAGACTTCATCTACATCAAGTGCACGAGCTTCCATCACCTGTCATACCAGATGCTCGTGACTTGAGACTCTACCTCATTGACGAGAACCTCAACTTCAAAGAGGTTTTGGGGTGGATCGAAACTTAGGGGCCATCGTCCGGCTCACGACGGGAAAGAAGAACTTGTTGGGAGGCAACCCAACTAGTCGGTTTGCATTTCTTTCTCTTTTTCTCCTCGGTTGAGTCAGTTTTGTTATTTTATTTTAGAGTCAATAACTCAACATTTGTGAGATTTTGTGTGGTTTTTGTGTTCCGACTACTGTCCCCTCCTAAAATGCACCGCCTGCCCCGTCCACCATCATTCACCCTTGATCTGGTAACTCCATTCTACCCTCCTTATCTTTCCCCCATTGAGGACAATGTCGTGCTTAAGTGTGAGGGGATGTTCGATTATGTATGCGGGTGAATGTTTGGCTGTTTGTGTGCTTGGAGCCTAGTCCACTATCCAAAATTTTAAATTTGAGGGCTCCAAGTACGTGTCTTCTTGCAAATTGCTTGCTCAGTATGCTTTGAATTGACAGTCTCTATAGTAATGTGCAACCTAGGGAGGTAGTGTAGCACTATGGAGGATGTTGAAGTATAAGATTTTTCCTATCTAGCTCTCTGTTGTGCCAGTTGATTTGGTGAATTAGTGGAGCTAAGACCGTTGAATTCATGTGGTAATGGTGACTCTGTTTGGATTGTGTTAAGGACTCGTGTATCGAACAAGGTGCTCATATGGGAAATGAAAAGAAGTTGGTCATCCATGTCGAAATCATTGAAATCTTAAACATGGGGTAAGCCCAACGTGCGTGGCACCGTTCATTGCACAAAATCGAGAGATTTTAGTGATCCTTAGTGGGGTACTGCTACAAGGTGAAGCTAAGCTATCTCTAGTACAAGTAAAATTTTCACCCATTGAACGGTTTGCCTACTTAAGGATGTGTTTTTAAGGGCACGGATAGAGCTTCCGGCCCCCCTTAATTTCATTGACCCTCCACACGAGTTGAGAAAAAGGAGTTAAAAGAAGTACTCTGGCGAGAGCCAGATGTACAGAAATTGCTCTTGCTCGACTAATAAGGGTCGGCCATGCAAAAGACTGCAGTTGGAACCCTCACCAAGTGAATGAAGAAAAAGAAAAAAAATGAAAATGAAAGTGCAAAAAAGGGGTTCCAACGGTGTAATGAAGTGAAACAGCACCCCGGTCAATGAATCCTTGGTTGTGAATGGTGTGAGTCCCTTTATCCATGAACTGGCTGTCTTACTTCCATTTCTTCTCATGATCCTGGCTTGAGTCTAGTACTCGCATTGAGAGAGATAGGGAACGTTTTAGAAGACCAGTTCACCTCGTAAGCTGCTATATGATCTAGGAAATCCTCTACCGACGATCGGGGTTGTTTGTTGCTATAGAGGTCTGGAGAGTTGCATTGGTTTGAGTTAGGTTTGCTTAGGGACAAGCAAATGGTTAAGTGTGGGGGAATTTGATAACGTCGTATTTACACATGTTTGCACCCTCGTTTCTTGATAATTTTGGCTTGAGTTTTTGATTTCTTGGAATATTTTACGCCAGGTTGTGTTCCTTTGTCACATTTCAGGTCCTAGCATGTAAAGTGAAGCCTAGGCGCAAGTTTCAAGTCAATAGGAGATCAATTGGCGACTCAGGGTGAGAAACTCAGGAATGACTTTAGAAAGAATGGATTTATAACTCATTTTATTGAAAACGAATCATGAAAGCTTTTTATGAAAATAAAGACGACAAGACTACGAGCATCTGGGATCAAACGGCACCTGAATCGGAGCTCAAACGAGATCAACGAAGGTTAGGAGTGCATGCTGGAAATTGTGCACGGCCGTGTGAAATTATGCACGGCCGTGTGGGTTTCCAAGGGGTTTTGCACAACCAAAACCTAAATTTGCACTGCCGTGCAAGTAGAGGTGCGAGTTTCAACGGGTATAAAAACTGTTTTGCGATTTTTGGAGAGGGGGAGCTGGGGTTTGGATCCCAAACACCGAAGGGATGAACCAAAGAGAGAGAGGGCGATTTGAGGGTATTCTTGGAGTGGAATTGGAGGATTTCTTCTCCTTGGAAGCTCGAGGAACGAGCCCGGACTTGAAGACTGGTCATCTGAAGATTCTTACTACTGTCTCTCTCTTCTCTATGGAGTAACTTCCCTTCACTTAGGTTTTGAGGAACCCTAGCTATGTTTGTTTGATTGGATGATTGTATGAGTACTCCTACTTGATAATCTTGAGTTCATATTCAATATATGCACGTTTTCATGATTCAATTCTGCTTTAGTCGAGATTATTGATTCTGCTTTGATCCTATGAGAGCAAATACCTGATTAGGTCAATAGAGCACCATAGATTGATAGTATTGGATCGATTGCTTTAGTCGAGGGTTGATTCACTGCTTTGTATCGATTGAGAACATCTTTCGATAAAGGGATTCTAGTTCAGAATGCCTTGATCGGTTTTTCTAGAGAAGGATGCGTCCATCTAGGCAATCGAATCAAGAGGGCCTTGATCCTTTAGCCGAGATTCAAGGTCTAGTTAAGGATTCTCCGCATTGCCAATGAAAGTGAAACAGGTTAGAGATCATCAATGATTAATCTGGCTAGTGGCTAGGAGGAATCATACCTAAGTGAGTTACCAACCTGTAATTAAATTTACTTTAACTGTAGTTTGTTAGAGTAGTTTTTGTTCTTCCATCTTAATCTGGTTTGTTAGATAATGAACTGAAGCTAAGTAATAGTAACTCTAAAGACCCGTGGATTCGATATTTATTACTTGAGCCACTATACTGCAGTCCCTTTCATTGGTTACACTTGGCCATTGTTAGGAGTTGTGTCATAGCGAGTCATTTAGCTAGCTAGCTTAGTTTATTTGTAGCAGTGTAGGAAGTAGGAAACTAAACTTGGTTTTCTTTTATTTGAAATTTTGTTGTTAGTACTTGAAGTCTTGAAACTTTATATGTATAAATATTAGTCCAAGGTAACTTACTCGTTAGCTAAAGAACTTAGTTAAAAATTTATTTGTGTAATTGAGATAGGCAGATTGCATAGTTTTTACAATTCAACCCATTATTATGAAAGTGAATCGGTAGACTTCTTAGCTTGATACTTCTTGGTTTCCAAAATAATATATGAAACTAGTCAAACTAGTCGGAAAATAAAAAATACCACTTCGATGATTATATATGAGATTTTACTTGTCAGAGTTCTCTTATTTTCTTGTAATTGGTTTGTTTCTTTGTGATATCCATACTGTCTATTATTCTTATCAATATTTGTTTTAGGTTCACATCACAGTATAAGCATGTCACAGATGAAATTGGTCACTTCAAGTACGGGCATGTCACGGGCAATTGCTGAGATGAATGCAACAAATCGTGGTCAAGTGATGAATCTAAACACTGAGGGAAGAGCAGCATATGTTTGCGTGTATCAAGAGAAGGTTATCTACTTAATAACACAAAACTATGTTTTCTATTATGACCAAATATTAAGTTCTTGGTAGTTTTGTGTCTTATGTGCATTTTAAACAGAAAGCACAGCAAGAGAGTGGTGAGTTGTCAAAGATGGAATTCTTCAAGTGGCTGGATACCAAGGATACTGGAGTTTGGAGGAACCCACACAAAAAAGAACAATATGTAAGTTTGACTCATGAGAACTAACCATCTGGTTCCTTCTTTAAAAGCAAATGTTTATTATATTCCATTCATCTTCTACCTACTGCCTATTTTTATTTGTCGTGCATTTTTATCATTTTTTAGTGATTCTTGTTCATCTCCTCATATGAATTTTGTAGGAAAAGATGCAGGAGCTTGTTGATAGTTCTAAAGATAGTGACAAACCCGTTTCTGAAGATCAGGCTTTTCATATAGTTTTGGGTTACAACTCGGGATATTGTCATGGACTTGGGTATGGACAGTCAGCCCCATCTAGGAGGAGAGATCATGTGGATGCCAACTATGAACAACTATTCAGGGATAAAAGCTAGCTACAAGACCGGTGTGCGAATCTTGAAGAGCATGTGACTGAACTTAATGAAAAACAAGCTGAGTCTAATCAACAACTTGCAGCGACTACTAACAAACTGACAAGGTAGAAGAAGAACTTGCAGAATTTAGAAGGATTATGGCGAACCTTCAAGCTAGAGGCAACATTTAGCTAAACAGGTAAGAGAAGTTCTTAAGTCTCACTTGAACTCATTATGATGGAGACAAATGGTTGGATTTTAGCGGAATATAGTCTACATCGAGGTTGGCAGCAAAAAAGTATTGAAATTGACATTATGGTAAACACATTGCTAGACAAGGGATATGTCTCTATAAGTAAGGAGGACTAAATAATAATCATCACAAAAGTAATCTGTACAAAAAAAAAAAAAAAACAACGAAGCCATGCTTAGCTAACTTAGAATTTTGGTAAAACTACTCTCAACTTTTTTGTTATTTCTTTTGAACTTGTGTTTTGGTATACCAAACTTATCATATTAAGGTGATTCCTTACTGAATTTTGCATGTTATCAACTAGTGTTGATCTTTTTGCCATGGACAATGATACGACAGCATGTACAATGTCGTGAAGTCTGTTCCTATGATGTGCATAACCCTAGATATAGGGGGCTACTAATCTTAAGATTCCAAATGTTATGGATAATTATATATGAGAGATTGTGATCCTAGTAGTAGTAGTATATATGGCTTGTATAAACGACAACGGAGCTACTAATTTGAACTATGTTTTGAGCTATAAAGGACTTGTGTTTATCTAAACAGGTTGTTGTCAATACAAAAGATAAACAAAAAATAACAGCAATGTAAGTTAGTTTTGGTGACGAATAAACTTTTTGTGACGGTATATTCCGTTCCAAAAGAAAGTTTTGTTTTATAGATTCAGCATATCAGCGATGGTGAGTTCGTCGCTGAAGGCGACATACTATTTGCCACGACAGAATTTTTCGCGAAAAATAAAATTCTCACGACGAAACAATTTCGTCGCAGAAAATCGTACAATTCGCGATGAGTGAAGTCGTCACCAATACCACTTTCGGCGACGACTAACCTCTGTCGCAGAAAAGCAGAGAAACAGCGACGATAACCTCCGCCGCAAAATTTTTTGAATATGCGACGAAGTCCTCCGTCGCTAATGTACCATTTGGCGACGAACGTGTCGTTGCGAAATGTCTAGCTTTCAGCGACGAATGTATGCTTTTCTGCGACGAACTTGTATTTTTCGTCGCAAAACCTTTTGCGACGCTGTATTGGTGACAACCTTTAGGCTTATTTTGCGACGACGATATTCGTCGCCGATATGTTTTCGCGACGGATTTTTTATTTTCCGCGATGACTCTTTCCGTCGCAAAAAATGAAGTTTCTTGTAGTGATTTAATCATAGTAATTGATATCTAGTCACGGGAATTAATTATGTCACAGTAAATACCTTTTTAAAAGGTGCACTTCCCGTCTCTAAATGTGTTATTTTCCTCGTCTTTATGCTTTGATATTATGCACTAGCCATGGGGCCTACCGTGATTAATAGGTACAAATTATCACATGAACTTGTACCGTGACAAATTGTAACTAGTACAAATTTCCCGTGATCTTTACAATTAGACACGGAGGTATATATTACGGTAATTTTCTCGTGTTTAATAGTGTTAGTCACGGGAAACACACTTTCAAATACAGGATTTATCGTGATTACAAGATATTTTTCCTGTAGTTGCAGCTCCAAGAACGAACAATAGAAACACTGTTTAGAGGTTTTTGTTTGTTTGGGATAGGATGTTATTAAAAGTGCAATCTCAACACAAATCGTGAGAAGGCTCAATAAATATAGAAAGGTAGAATCGCGACCACAATCAAGGGGAAAACTTTATTGATACAGATAAAAGTTCAAGTCTCAAAAAACTAACCATAAAACCCGAGTTCCAACCTATATATAGGTATGGGCAATTAAAATAATTAAAACAACTCAAAAACTCTGAATCCCGTCGGTCAGACCCGAAACCCGGCCAAAATACTTGGTCGAGTATTTTGGGTCACAGACCGGGCTTCTTCCCTGCCTGCTAACCCCAGTCCCTTTCCTGTTTCCTCGGTCGGGGAAATTCCTCCACCACATACCCGACCGCTGCTCTTCCCGCCTATCGGTCTCCTCGTTTTCTGGAACTTGGACCCGAAACCGTGGGAGTTGGTGGGCTCGCAGGAATCGTGGAGTGCATGATGTTTGCGATGGAACCTTTCATCGTTTTAGAGATGTAGCTGATCCTTTCGCCGCCGAAACCATGCTCTGCAATGACAATTAGCGTCGAAAAGCTACATCCTTTGGTGACGGATAACACAAAAAATTGGAAAAAATAAACACCATTTTTCCTCTCTCTCCCTTCTTCTCCTTCGGCGGTAGATCCTGCGGCGGGTGGATTTAGCAGACAAAGCGTATTTTTCGGTGTCCTGCTTAATGCTTAGGCTCGACTTTTAGAAGTGGTTTTGGAATTCAAAATCTGAAGGAGGGCCAAACACCTCTAAAAGCTTGGCTTTTGAAAAGCTGAATATCGCTTTAGTATAACATCAAACCAGACCTCTTAATTGAAACTTCTGCAAAAAGCCGTTTTGAAAATACAAGATTATTCTTATCATACTATAATTTTATCTCAGAAAAAATAAATTCTTTCATTTATATAATTTTAAAAATAAAATAAAGGTTTAATACACTTTTATATCCAAAACTTCCACGGTTGTGCTAATAATATCCAAATTTCCCGAAATACCACTTTATATCAATGTTTTAAAGTTGTTCTTTGCCAAATCTATCCATTTCCCAATATATTTTTGGTTAAAATACACTTGTATATCCAAAAACACCGTTAAAGAATGTAAGGAATTGGATATAAGTAGTATTTCGGGAAATTTGGATATTATTGGCACAACCGTGAAAGTTTTGGATATACAAGTGTATTTAACCTAAAATAAATTTTAACATCATATGTCCTATTGCTCTTCGTAGAGAATCTCTCTAATTCAAAATTTCTTCTCCCTGTATGCACAGAAGCAGCTAAGGTATGTTCTCATTCAAATCTCCTTCTGTCCCGTGAACCCTTTAAACCATTATAGCTTTGATTTACACGCATGCAATTTACAGAGTATCCATTCCAATTCCAATTTATAGAGTATCCATTTCAATTTACCCTGGGTTCTTATATTCAGTTACATCATTACATTCTTGTTCTTTTGTTGTAGAATACATAATGAAGGCTAGTCAGAATCTCAAGATGAACCGTAGTCATAATCTCAAGGTGAAGAGTGGTCAGAACCCATGTCAAACTACTCAATCTCATGACAATGAGAAAGTTTCCAAAAAAACTCCAGCAAAATATGTTGCCCCTAGATCACTTAGGAGGAGGGCTCCAAATCGATCAACATCTTTCTCCACTTTAAGATCTTCATCTGATGCGCCTTCCAAATCTCATCCCATGGCACCTGCAACACCTAGTAGGTACCTTGTGTAATTCATTTCACATTGCTCAATTATGTTGAAATCACTAAGTTGAGGTATCTTTTTTGCTGCTCCTAAAAGGACAAAAGAACCCATTGTTCAACTAATAGCATACCACAAAGGGCAAGTGAATCCACAATTGTAACTGATAACATGCCACAAAGGGAATCCACAATCGTGGTGTTGGGCCAAACCGAGCAACTTGGTCAAGCTTAATGGATTAGTTGCTCGGAATCCGCAGATTTGCTCATTGAGATAAGAAAATGGAAGTCAAAGAGTCGTGCAGAACTTGAGCATTTGTGGGCTGCAGCTACAGTAAGGAACAATATGCAATTTTGTCTTGTCATTCTTCACTACCAAGTTATTCATGTAATCTTTTTGCGTGTTTAAAGATACTTAATCTTTATGATAACAATGATTGTAGGAGTATTACCATAATCCCAAAATGATAGACTATAATTATCATACTTTAATTCATATGAGGGATCGTTGGAACAAATGGAGGTTAGTTTTGTATCGTGAGTATGCAAAGCCATGTGGATCTGGAGAACAAAGACATGGACATTTAATTGGATTTGGAGATGGATTGACGCCTAAAGACTTCAAGGGTTCAGATTCATTAAACATGACAGAATTAGCAAGCAAACTAAGGGAATCAAATGGAGAAAAGGCAAACATGGCAGCTGTAATAGCATAGCAAGCCAAAGTTATTTTAGAGATGAGACACATGATGGAAAGGATGAACAAGAGGTCTGGTGGTCCAGCAACAACTCAAAGGGTCAATCTTAAGTATGTATCTGTTACTTCTGTCATCTAGAGTTCTATGTTGATGCTTATCCTTCGTGTTTATGTTTTGTTTGAGTCTAGATACTATAATTGTTCATTCTTTTTGTTCATGGCAGGTATGGATATGAATCATGACACCAACTAACCTCTTGCTTCTGTAGGATAGGATGAAATATAATTCTAGATTAGGAGGAGATTTAGATGTTTGTTGAAATCTTTTAAATGATTTTGTATAGGTGTCATGTAATAGTTTGTTAGCTTTTGAATGGTTAGAAATATCTAAAACTCGTCTGACTTTTGACTATTGATGTAAGAGTAGTTTATTATGGATTAAGTGTGCAAGTTTGTATAATGTAATGTTGTTGCTCTGGACTAAGTAGTTTATTCCATAACTCTTTTGACTAGTGATGTAGAATGTAATGTTCTTATTCTGGACTGTGTGCAAGTTTGTATAAAACAAAGTTGAGAGGCTCGAACTCGTAACCAAGAAGATTGTGAATGGTGTGTGAAACATGTTTTCTACAGTGCTTAGTTTCAGGTAGTGAAAATATGCTCTATGTGTACTTGTTATATTGTTTTGTATGATTAATTGGAATTTCTAATTTATTTTCGAAATTTGCAGAAATTGAGCAAGAACAATGTATTGAATATAATGAAAAAAATATGAATCATCATAGTGGAAGCAAGCCTAATCGAGAATATTTTTATGAAATGGTATCATCTTCAAGTTGTTGTTGTTGTTGTTGTTGTTGTTGTTGTTGTTGTTGTTGTTGTTGTTGTTGTTTATGCTGCTGTTCTTTATGTTTTTGTTGTTTATTGTTTATGCCTCTGCAGTTTATTGTTTATCTTTTTGCAGAATGGTTATTTCATTAGTTGTGAATGATTTGGTTCATTTATATCATGTTCATAGGGTGGAAAGGATGGGATTCCTCCAACCATAGATAAAGTGTTTTTTGATACACATAAGAGCAATGGTGAAATAAAGGAACCAGCCGCAAAAGAGATACATGTAATATCGAAACTTTAAGTTTGAAGTTTTGTTCATACATATTCACTATGGTTTATGATTGTTAATTATTTTATTTTGATAGACTGGACTTATTGAAAAATGTGAAGCTAATCCAGAGTTGGAGTCGATGGAATTGGTAGAGAAGTACTGTGGAGAACAAAGACATGGACATATAATTGGATTTGGAGGTGGATTGAGGCCTAAAGACTTGAACGGTTCAGATGCATTAAGCAGGACAGAATTGGCAAGCAAACTAAGGGAATCCAATGGAGAAAAGGCAGACATGGCAGCTGTAATAGCAGAGCAAGCCAAAGTTATTTCAGAGATGAGAGACATGATGGAAAGGATGAACTAGAGGTCTATTGGTCCGACAACAACTCAAAACGGTCAATCTTAAGTATGTATCCTTTACTTCTGTCATCTGGAGTCCGGTGTAGATGCTTCTCCTTCGTGTTTATGTTTTGTTTGAGTCTAGATACTAATATTGTTCATTATTTTTGGTCATGGTAGGTATGGATATGAATCATGACACCAACTAACCTTTTGAGGATAGGATGAAATATAAATGTAGATTAGGAGGAGTTTTAGATGTTTGTTGAAATCTTTTAAATGATTTTGGATGAGTGCCATGTAATAGTTAGTTAGCTTTTGGATGTTTAGAAATATCTAAAACTCGTCTGGCTATTGACTATTGATGTAAGAGTAGTTAATTATGGAGTAAGTGTGCAAGTTTGTATAATTTAATGTTGTTGCTCTAGACTAAGTAGTTTATTCCATAACTCTTTTGACTAGTGATGTAGAATGTAATGTTCTTATTCTGGAATGCGTGCAAGTTTGTATGAAACATAGTTAAGAAAAAGTTGATGCATTGATTCTTGAGTTACATTGCATAGAAAACTTGCATTCCCATCCCATTTCAGCAGCTCAATCTGTTGCCCATGTACAACAGCTTGTAAACCATTTTGGCAAATAGGATTAATAATTTAATATACATTGCCCAGATTTGCAGCATTTCAAACTTGGTAGCTTGTCCAGATTTGGAGCCTGTCGAACTCGTAACTGGGAAAAAAGAATCATGCTGCAGGCTCGAGCCAGGTAGCTAAACGAAAAAACTATAACCAAACTACAAATCTAACCATATTGCCAAATCCATTTTTCTTGTCAATTGTTCCATTAAGCTTGTATCTATCCTATTCCATAGGAAGCCCACGTCAAAACCAGCCCATGGACGTTTGTTTTTGTCTAGTACGATGACAAAATTTTAAACAATCGTGATTTTGTACTCAGTTATCTGATTGGAGTAATTTTTTTTAATTTCATATAACTTTTTGAGATCTACGTAGTTGCAAAACACCTCCTGAATTTTTTCAGAAAAGGTCATTTAGTGGTCTAACAAGAACATTTTGTGATTTTCTCAAACTTTGAAAAGTTGTCGTTTTTTGTTCAAGCACCCGTTTGGTGTAATTTTGTTTTCATTTTATAGAGACATTGGAGTACTATCTTTTACACTTGTGATGATGTTTCAAAAGAGGATACAATACATGAATTTAAGGTTTGGTCCGTTTTTTGAATTTTTATTGATAATATTTTGCTAAGATTATATCAACAAATTTATGTTTGGTCTATTGGTTTAGTGGTCACACTAAAACGTTGGACAACAAGGCTCGAATCATGGCATTAGCCTTTTTCACTTTTACTTTGTCATTTTTTGCTTCTCATTTACGATGCGAGACTTCCCTCTTCTTAACCTAATTTCCACTTACCCTTTCCGCTGCTTTCCTTCTCATCGCTCGTTCACACCTTGATATGAAAAATAATCGAATTCGTGGCTCGATTCCTTCTCTGATCTCGTTCGTTCACAACCCTAATATGAAAATCAATCGACTTCATGGCTTGATTCCTTCTCTGCTTTCATCGTAGACCTTCTTGATTCTCTTTAAAAGCCAATCGTCATCTTTCAAGGTCTTCTCGGAGCGGAGCGGTGCCGGCTGCATCTGTGGGGCGGAGCTGCTACTGTGGAGTGGTGTGGAGCTGTGCTGCTGCCGTGAGCAGTGCAAAACTGCTGCTTTTGCTGCTGTGGAACGGTGGGGGGCTGCTGTTGTCCGGGACTAGTGCAGAGCTACTGCTTTCGTGGAGCAGAAAGAAGCTGTTGTAGAACTCTTATTGTGGAGGAGTGTAGAGCTGTTGTTGTGGAGGTGCAGTGCAGTGGTTGCTGTTGATTTAAGTTTGGGTCAATTTATTCATTTAGAAAATCAAGATGTGTTCTGATTATCTTACTCCTTTAGTATTATCATGTCAATAGAACAAGTTCAGTAGTTTATGGTGTTTTTAATGTGTATTGGGAAATGGCACCAAGTATAAATTGGATTCTTGTCGACAATAGACTCAATGAGGATTATAAGAATGGAGTTTCAGAATTTTTGAGTATGCATTTCAAAGGAACAAGGGAAGGTATGGAATTAGATGTCCATGTGTGAAGTGTTGCAATATCAAGTCAGGGTCACGGGAGACAGTAACTGCACATTTACTCATTTATATAATTGTCCCAAACTATACATTTTGGTGCCACCACGAAGAAAGGTTGGCTGAGCCATTTGGACCAGCAGACTAAGATGTCAACGATGGGTATGAGAATGAGAATGAAATGCATCAGGTTTTGAGGGATTGGTATCCTAACATTGATATCGACGAAGAAGAAATTGATATGGATTTTGAGGAAGCATACAATCAGTCTCCAAATGATGAAGCAGGAAAGTTCTACATATTGTTAAATGACTCTGAGCAACCTCTTTATGATGGTTGTAAGAGTTCAAAGTTATCAACTATAGTGAAACTTCTTCACATAAAGACTCTTGGAATAGGGAGTAATGAATCCTTTAACATGCTGCTCTAGCTTATGAAAGAGGATCTGTTGCTAGAGGGTTCATGCTTGCCAGATTCATATTATGAATAAAAAAAGATCATACATGATCTCGGCCTTTCATACACAAAAATTGATGCTTGTGAGCATAGTTGCATGCTATTTTGAAAGGATGATGCACTTCGTGACACTTGTAAGGTGTGTCATGCATCTAGATGGAAAGTTGACAAATGTAGTGGGGAAGTCATGACTAAAGTGAATGGGAAGAAACTTCCAAAGAAGACTTTATGTTATTTTCCACTAACGTGACCTAGCATCATGACAACAAGGGTGATGGTGAAGTGATGAGACATCCAAGTGATTCTTCAGCATGGAAGTCATTTGATGAACTCCATCAATCATTCTCATCAGACCCTTGAAATGTGAGGCTTGCTTTAGCTAGTGATGGCTTCCAAACTTTTGCACATTCCAAAACTCCCTATAGTATATGGCCAGTGGTTTTAGTTCCATACAACCTACCTCCTAGGATGATTATGAAGCCCTCTAATTTTATTCTATCCATGTTAATTCCTGGTCCAGAAAGTCCTGGAGATACTATTGATGTATATATGCAACCGTTGATTGAGGATCTCAAGGATTTGTGGGAAGAAGGTGTAACTACTTTTGACTCATCGAAAAGACAAAACTTTCAATTACATGCAGTCTTATTGTGGACAATCAACGATTTTCCAGCTTATGCAAACTTATCTGGGTGGAGCACTAAGGGAAGGTTAGCTTGTCCTGTCTGCAGCAAGCACTACAACAAAGTGCGCCTTTTGCGACGAAATTATTCGTCGCAAAAAGCATCAAATTCGTCGCAGAAACACTTTCACGACGAAAATCTCCGTCGCCATAGCAGAGTGCCATACGTCGCGTAAACCGCGTCGCCCTAGGGGTTCTGCGACGAATATAATGCACCCGTCACTAAAAGTACATATCGTCGCTGAAGGGTGAAGCTTTTGCGACGAACATATTTGTAGCAAAATGTGTTCTTCCGCGACGATCTTAACGTCATCGCACAAAATAACTTTTTGCGACGAAATCATTCATCGCAGAAACTCTCTACCGTAACATAAAAAAACTAGTAGCGACGCTTCATTTCGTCGCAGATGGCTTTAGCTATGACGAATTTCGTCACTAAAAATGTTAATTTCTCACTGTTTCTTATGCTTATATAACCTGATATTGTTCATACATACTTCAACTTTGCAACCAATTAGTGTAAGAGATAACTCAACTGAGCAGTTCTATAATAAATTACCATGGAATATTCAATCTTGTTCATCCAAGTAGCTATACATTTACAACCATACATAATAAATAAATTCATTCAACATTCATAATATCCAATGAAGCAACAATTAACTACTTGCAAGTTTCTCTATAGGATCTTGAAGCATTCTTGAGGGACTCTGGAGTCCTTGTTGCACGTCCAATCTACTCCCTCAATTGACCAGTTTGCAGCTTGTATTTGTGCATAACCTAATAAAGTCAAAGAAATAAATACATAAATAGAGCATAATCCTTCAAACAAAGCAAGATTGCACACAAACTTGCTGCAAGTCTAGCAACTCTTACTTAGAATACCTTTTTAAAGAACAAGAACTAACCTGGAGCTTTATGTACTCCTTTTTATGTCTTCTTTATTACATGTACTTGTTGAGTCTTCAAATGCTTTAAATCAAAGTTTCAACCAAACAACATTTATTATTCAAGATTTGTAATTTCCCTCCAGTAAATCAAAAAGATATGGCGGCAATAAAGTCTGACTGAAATTCTAACTTGATTCCCAATAGCCATCCTTGGAAACTAATATCTTTTTGAAGCTTTTCAATCTGGGCCTTGAACTAAACACTAGCCTCAATGAACTACAAATGAGAATGATTCAGATCTAACTTCAGAATATTAAGAAAGCAACAGATAGGACATTCTATTAACTAAACAAATGTGAACTTAAGAAGAAGCTCAAATTACCCAATTAAAATAAGCTTAAAACATAAGAACGTATTCAGAAGATGCCAACTACACGTATAATTTTAATGTTCCCAAATGAAGTCATCAATGATGACCAGAGTCCAAATACTCCTAATGGTTGTTGAGTGTCGGTGACATGGCCAATAGTACCTTAAACCAAATTTTCAAAATCTACATAACATTGCATCTTATATAGTTTAACAATCTCAGAAGTAAATAAATGACCTGAACTAGAAGTACAAAATTATTCCTAAAATATTAACTAGGTTCAGAAGAAGTCCATTTTTATAGACGATTTCAATAATTGGATCATGAGTGGTTTGTGACTCAAATAACCTACTGAGGTTGGCTCGCTGGCCAAAAGATGGTGGCCAAGTATGTTTTATCAAGAAAAACGATCAAATATGTAGATACAAATAAACACAATGAAACCAATTATGATAGGAAATCAAGTGGATGATAAAAGTAGTTCAAATTGAATACTCGAAAGCTCATGACTGAACCCAATACATGAATATATATAT